GTCTATATGCAAACTAAATGTATACAGTGAAACAAACTATGTACATTGCAATGTCTTCTGAAGTTGTCAAGCTTTTATCTTATGTTTTATTACAACCCATATGCCTTGAGCCTAACATATACAAATACACAATTTCTGGTTTCAATTCAAATCACTGAATTGAAATCCAAAAGTTTCAGGTTTCAATTCAATCCGCTGGATTGAAATTAAGAATGTTCTGATTTCAAGTCAAATCCTTGAAGTGAAACTATACATCAACCAATGATCTACATAAAGCACTGAGTTACATTAAATGAGTTTACAAACTGTTGGACACATGTACACATGTGTGAGGTGTGTTGAAGTACAACCACATGTGTTTGAAGCCGTCAAAGCTAATGTACACAAGGCAAAGCTCTAATATTGAAGCCATTCAGGCTAATTTGAATGAAGTGCAAACATAGAACAAGAAACAAGCCTTGACGCTAATTTCACACAGGTCGTGCGCTTGACAACATTTGAGAAGAATGAGACCTCCATTGACAACACATGAGAGCTCAGGTTGTTTGACAGGAGGGGCAGCGGTGCAGTGAGCCTTGCTTCCTGCCAGGAAGGTCCACTCTACATCAGTACCTGTAGCCCAGCAATGCAGGGCCTGCATCCCCAAACTTTTGGGTGCGGCTACAAAGATTTCTCACATGATCTCCTCTAATTGTGTTCTGCAATCTTGTTGCGCGGCTCATTCCAAGTCCTTTTCTGCGATGAAATCCCAAGTCACTTTCTGCCATGAATTGCCGTCGCAATCCTGCCAGAAGCTTGTGTCATCCCTTTGTACTCCATTTCCCTGCAGAGTGCCCCCAAGTCATATCATTTCCTGCAGCTGCATCCTGCTCCCAGGATTGGCCATCATTGTGAAACTGAAGCCTCTGCCTTCTCATTGCAGCGACACCAACTATAGTTTGAGTTGGAACAAAATGGGAGACAGTGAGCTTGAAATTGAAGTCATTGACAAAGTTTGTGGCGATCTCTCTGTTGAAAAGCATTCAATGTAATTCAGTGGTCAATATGGCCAATGGAACAATCAAGAGCCGCTCACACTAATGTGCAGGGCAAGAGACAACAGGAGCCAATATGGCTAATGTGTTGACAAGAAACAGTTGGAGCCAATATGGCTAATGTGTTGACAAGAATCAGCAGGAGCCAGGCAGGCCAATATACAGTGAAATCATAAACAGAGTAAGCCAGGAAGGCTAAATAATTGTGTACAAACAAATCTTTATATGAAGGTTTGAGCTTGACACAAAAGTTTACAGCTTGTAGTGTTGTACATTCATTGAAACGGCAGCTTTTTGTTCCAGGCAAAGGGATGGCAAACATCAGGTGACACCCCAATCATTTTGTTTTGGCCTCCTTTTTGGGCTGTTCACTCAGTGTGTCTTTAGCCTTATTCATATTCAAAGGAGTGTTTGCTGGCAAAGCAGATAGGCATGGAGACACCCTTGATGGTCACCCACTTGGTCGACATGGTGCGCTCTTCATCCCCATCGGCTGTGCCAAACCAATTGTAAGGAACCAGAACTCCAGCAGCGTTCACTTAAAAGCTGGAGAGCTGCTTGTAGGTGGACAGCTGAAAGCGGATGCCTTCATATTTCAAGCGAATACCTTTGATCTTCCCCACATACTCAGCTTTGACAAGCTGCGCAATTCCAAGTGGGTAGAGCTGCAGATCTCCCTTCTTGACTTTCTTGGAGGTGTACACACCAGAAGGGTGCAGGGAGAAAGATAGCTCCGCAGATCCAGAACGCTCCAGGCAGGCCTCAGGGACAATTGTCTGAACATAGGCCTCCAAGTAGTCACTGAAGACTTGGCCTTTCTTGGCTGCAATCTTAGATGCAACAAGATCAGCAGGAAATAGCTGTGTTGGTTCTGTCTTTGTTTTTCCACTTTTTGACTGGAACCATCTGCTTGATAGGTTCCACAAACAGCTGATGAAAGATTGCTTGGTCTTCCATGGTCTTGAAGGTGAAGACCTTCTGGTCAAAGTCCGCATGGATGTACCGCTGGCCAATGGCAAGATGACTGTGCTGTATCAAGACCATCTCTGCAGGTGGTGCTGAAAGCAAATCTTTCACCTGAAGGCCACTACTGGGAGTTGGAGCTGCTTCTTTTTCCAAATCAAGTCATTGGCAAACATCTGCATCACTTGCTCAAAAGATTCCAACTCATCATCTCTACCATGTTTCTGTTTTTGCAGCAAAAGGAGAGTCGATCGCACGCGCAATTTGCCAAAGCTCATGGCCCTCACTGAGGGGTCAATGTCATCTTTGTTGCATTGTCTCCAAGCGTCCTTGAGAAGGCCTTCCATGTGGATGTACTTGGATTGCAAAGGCTTGGCTTGCAAAGACTTGGATTGTCAAAATCACTCTTCACAATGAGCTTTTGGATACCATCCTGTTTTTCCTGGCTGTGAGCATGGTGCTCAAAAGAGCAAGTCGAGTAAACATCACGGAACTGCCTGGGACCGTGAAATCATAATAGCTCAACAGAGCCATACCTTCTTCTCCAATCATCCAGCTTGGACCAAATTTCAGGCCTTAAATGTGTACACAAACCTTTTCCTAGGAAGTTTGAAAGGTAGGGTTTCAGCCAGGTGCATCCATAATGCAATTGCAGCCACACATGGCTGGTGTACCAACTGTTGCGCAAATAGTTTTCAGACATGTTTTGCTGCTACACTGCACTGCACTGCGACAACATGTTCTTTTGCAAACAGAACTGGCATGGTCAAGTCTATCTTGGGAAAGCAATCACACAGTCAATCCAAATGAAGGCTAGCTGCTAAAGTCTTTGACTTGCTGAAGCAATGGAAAAGATAGGCCGCCCAGGAACATTGAGACAAAGTGAGATATGTCATCAACATATGCACTGCGTGAGGGAGCTGTGGCTTGGGTCATCTTGATTGCTGAATCCATGGGAACCTTTTGCTCCAAGCAGGATGCCAGCTGAAGCATCACTTCCAATTCCCCCACCATTTTGGAAGCACTGTTGGTGCTGTTGAGTGTAGCCTGACACCATACAGCAAAGGTAGGGAATTCATCTTCCACAACATGTCCACTTCCAGCCATTCTGCGACAAAGCGCCAAACTCTGTTGGGGTCTGCGTCCTCTGACCATCTGGGCCAGGAGCTTGTTGCATGAACGCCCCGCAAAACATGAGAAAGTGAGGGGTGCCAAGTGTAACAAACCACCCAGCATACCCCCAGCCTTAGAGCACATTCCCTTGGCACTCAACTGTCGTTTCTTCTTCTCTGGGCTGATTTCAAGGCAGGGTGGAAGGAGCTGTGGTTTCAAGCCAGTCTTTTGTGTGTGAAGACCTTTGGAAATAGCATCGTGTCCATTTACCATGGAATGGACAAGGAGGTCTTGAGGGTGGAGTGTCACTTCATAGCACAGGCTATGCTTGGACAGCAACTCTAGGATTCTGTTCAGCTTCAAGTTCACACCAGCATCACTGCTGACAATGCTTTGCGTCTCAGCTTTCGCTGCTGGCTCCATGGCAGGAAAGGTGGTGTCAAAAGGTCTTGCAATGCATAAGGCTTGCTGCGCGCGTATTCAGCATGTGTTTTCTACCATGTGTTTCTCATCACGAAAGCTAGCTGTAGCTAGCTGGAGTCTGTCTTGCTTTAGCAAGGAGGGTGG